AAATCTGCAATTTGAAGGGTTTTGAACTTCAGCTGCTCCCGAGGAGCCTCTCCTGAGGCTGAGGAAGCGTCTGCCAAGTCTGGATGTCTGTGATGCTTCAGTGGCTGGGGCAGGCATTGCTCAGCACAGTGAATCAGCTCCTGGAGCCTGCCCCAGCTCCCTTCCTGGCTCCCTTCCTGCCGGGAATGCTCCTGGAGCCTGGCCCTGGCTCCCCTCACCCAGGAATGCTCCCGGAGCCTGCCCCTGGCTCCTCTTACCCCAGGAACCTCCTGGAGCCTGCCCCTGGCTCTGCCCTCACCCAGGAACACTCCCAGAGCCTGCCCCTGGCTGTCCCCTCCCAGAGTCTGTCCCTGGCTGTCCCATCCCGGAGCCTGCCCCTGGCTCTCCTCACCCCAAAATGCTCCTGACACCCCAGCCCCAGCAGCTGTCGGGGTCGTGCTGTCCTTCCACTCTGTGGACCCTGCCCCTGGCTCTGCCCACTCGGGAATGCTCCCAGAGCCTGCCCCTGGCTGTCCCTTCCCAGAGTCTGTCCCTGGCTGTCCCATCCCAGAGCCTGCCCCTGGCTCTCCTCACCCCAAAATGCTCCTGACACCCCAGCCCCAGCAGCTGTCGGGGTCGTGCTGTCCTTCCACTCTGGGTTTGTTATTTTTTATTAAAACTGACTGTCCCAGTAGGAAGAAGGCTGAGTGTTCCCAAACCCAGGAGCTGTTGTGCTGAGGGCAGGGAGTTCCCAAGCTGGAATTGGGGTGTGGGGTGGGCAGGAGCACCCACAGTGGGTGCTGAGGGAATTCCCATATCAGGAATTGGGTGTGGGATGGGCAGGAGCCCCTGCAGTGGGGTGGGTGGGAGGGGTGTGGGTGCAGTAGAGGGTGTAGAGCTCACGTGCACGGGGGTGATGTGTAGGACAGTAGAGGTTCCCATGGTGTCGTGTCTTTCTTGTAACCACATGTAATCCATTTTTCAAGAAGGTGTTTTCATACTCGGGTCGGGGTTTATTTTCACTTAGGCTGGGCCAGCCTTCTGGGGGCAGCTGGGGTTGGTCCTTGGGTTTTCCTGGAGGTCGTTGGTTCCAAGTCCAGCCGTGCTGCTGCTCCTGCTCCGTGTGTGTGGCACCACTCCAGAAACAGATCAAAGCTTGCCAGAGAAAAAAGAGAAAAAAAGGAATTTACTTGTAAAAATGCTGGAAATTATTTTGATGACCTCTTTCTTTTTTCCTTTGTAAAGCTGTAAATACTTTATTTTTGTTTTCTATTCTTAATGCGGTGTCATATTGACACTTTTTTAGATTTACAGTCAGAAAATCCTCCTCATCGTTTCTCATTTTTTAAAAGGGGATTTCAAGGAAGCAAATTTTTTTGCTCGCTAGCAGTGTAATAATAGATCAAATTCCTAAACTGGGTTTGTACAAAAATGTTTTCAGTAAACAAGTGGCAGTTTGTGGATGCATGTTGTTCAAAAATGTCCAAAGAATAATGTGGTACAAATGTTTTAAAGAATAATGTGGTACAAACATGTTTTTCAAAGACTTAGTGATGATCATCTTAGTTCACACAAGGGAAAAAGCAAAATTCTTTAAAAAAAAAGTTTAGGGGGGAATGTAATGAAACTCATCTAAGCTAAATGTGTAATCTATTTATAAAATCACAGTATATATTCTATTTTTATCAGAGGTTTTTAAAGTGCAAACAGATTTCTGTTGGCAGATGCAATCATTCCCTTGTAAAGTCTCTTCTGCTCTGATGGGACCCCCAAATTCTCTGATGGTTCCAAGAGTCAACGTGGAAATAACCAGGACAGGTTTGGCTTGGAGCACTCACAGGTGGCTTCCTCCAGGGGAGGCTGCAGCTTCAGCATCTCTTCTGCCTCTGCAGAACGGGTGCTGTGATTTTATTCCCTTCCCTGGGATTTTATTCCCTTCCCCTGACTGGGAGGATGCTCCTGGAAGGGGTCAGGACCTCCTGGATGCCAGGAGCGTGGCAGGACAGGGGTTAAACTCTGCCTGGATAATAAAAAATTAAATACAAATTATATTTGTACCTGTAGAAATTGGGATTAACTCACAAAACAGCAGATGGGAATCGTGCCTGAATATGCATCCAGAGCTGCTTCTAAAGTGAGATTATATTAATTTTCCTTCCCGTGATCTTTCCTGCCAGCAAAAACAGGAGCTGGCTGTGGAAGGGCCGTGGGTGCTCCCAGAGCTGTTCCTGGTGTTTCCCTTGGCTCTGGGAGGATGTTTGTGTTGGAAGAGCTGCAGAGCTGGGAGGTTTCACGTTCGAGTGCTTCATTTTAGAGCTGAGTGTTTAAGGAGTGATTTATCCCGGCTAAATTAAGACATCCCAGCGCTTGCACGAGGCAGGGACGCCCCAGTGAGGATTTTCCACCCTTGGCTTCAGGACTTTTGGGGTTTTTGTCCTTCTGCTCGGCTGCAGGGCAGCACACAGCTTGTAAAGCTCTTTGCCCTCGGGGCTGCCACCCAAACACTGGATTTTAAGCTTTTTAGCGGGATGTAATTTGTGTCCCTGTGAGTTTTAATTGAGAAACAAAATTACCGACGAGGCAGCAGGCGGTGTCCTGGTGGGAATAACAGCCGAGGTGAGCTGGGAGCTCTGCCTGCCAAATTCTCCGTGGGAATGGGATCGCAGCCCCTCTCCCTGCAGAGGGAGCACTCAGGGCTCGGCCAGGCCCTTGGCAGGGCAGGGGGGAAACACTGGAGCCTTCCCTTCTGTTTTTGTGTGAGCTCGGTGTCCTCGGACCCTTCTGCGTTTGCAGGAGCCTCTCAAAGCTTCTCTTTTGAAGGAGCAACAAATTGTGTTTAAATGTGGGTATTTGACTGCAGGAATCACCATTCCCCCCGATCTGAGGCACTCCAGCAGTGAAGCCCTTGGGAAGGGGGTGCTTGTTGGTCTGGCCAGCTCCCTTTTTTTGGAAATTAGGATGTTAAAGCTTAAAGCACCCCCTGGGGTGGCTTCAAAGCATTGTCATCTCTGTGGCAGAGCAGCCCAGAGTACCACGGTGCCACAAAGCCGGTGGAGCTGCCCAGACTGCCACCCCCAAAACCCCAAATTTCTGTTTTATTGGAGAGGGTTTGAGGGCGGTCCAGCCTCAGTCACTAAAACACACTCCTTTGTGTAACCTGGTTTCACCAAATAACTCACAATCCAGTCCCTAAAACACCTTCCTGTGGGTAACGTAAATGTAGCGACCTTCTGCCAAAAAAGATTATTTATTATTTATCGTGTTCAAGGGGGGTATTGATGCCTCTTCCCTCCTGCTGTGTCACTTCTTGTCGGTTCCTCTTTAGGTCACTTAAGAGTTTCTTTTATCCCCACGACAATGAACTACTGCTGGTGTGGGAACGCCCCTGGTTACCGTCCCCGTGTAAATACTGTGCTTTATATTCTGTATATTAGCTAATTTTAATGGAAAAGACTGGACTGATGATGCTGTTGGATGACCCCGGGTGGGGAAAGGCCGGAGGATGACCCAGCTCCCGGGCTTGGGGCTGGAATTGCGTGCTGGGAGCCCGCAGCAGCTGCACTGGGACCCCACCAGTGGGTCTGGGACCGCGAAATCGAGAATCCAACCCACGAGGAGGAGCCCCGAGACCTCCCTCAGCCAGAGCCACAACACCCGCCCTCCTCTGAGCTCGGCGGATTTGCTCCGTTTTCCTTTTTTTAGTGCCAAAACCGATCCCACCGTCCCCTCGCAGGTGTGCCGGCAGCTCCCCGTGTGCTGCTGCGGGGTCCGGCCCGGGTCCGGCCCGGTTCCAGCCCGGTTCCAGCCCGGTTCCAGCTCGGGTCCGGCCCGGGTCCAGCCCGGTTCCAGCTCGGGTCCGGCCCGGGTCCGGCCCGGTTCCAGCTCGGGTCCGGCCCGGGTCCAGCCCGGGTCCAGCCCGGTTCCAGCCCGGTTCCGGCCCGGTTCCAGCCCGGGTCCAGCCCGGTTCCAGCTCGGGTCCGGCCCGGTTCCAGCCCGGTTCCAGCTCGGTTCCAGCCCGGTTCCGGCCCCTCCGTCCTGCCCGGTCTGGCTCAGTCCGCGGTGCCGGACCTGGAACGGGTCCCAGTCGGTCTCTGGTGACGATGAAAACCACAAAAAACTATAAAATAAATACCAAACTCCTGGTTGAGCGGCTCTGCGTGTTAATTCTTGGGTAGAAAACGCCTCCAAAGCAGATTTGGGTGTGGGGAGGGAGGGACCATCCCGGTCTCTGGAAATCCGCCCAGCCCGGCTGATTTGGGGTCTCAAATGGCCCGAAATCCCCTCAGAATTAGGGTCCTTCAGCTGCTGCTCTTGGAACGTGACTCTCCTTGGAAATGAAAGAACCCCCTGCCCACCTCAGCCTCTCCTGGCGCTGTGCCCCAGCCTGGCCCCACCTTTGGGTTAAAATCACCCCTTCTTTGGTAATTGTCAGCTCCCAAAGGGATTCTCAGCCGCTTTTCTCTTTTTCCCCGCCTAGGTCCTCTCCCGCGGCTCGGCTCCGGGCGCAGTCCCAGGCGCTCCCTCTGCTCGGGCCGGTTTTGTTGTTGTTTTTGTCCAATTTCCCTTTTTAAAATGATTTTTGGCTCCTTCCCGCGCCCCGCCCCCTCCCGCGTGCCGCGCGCGCCACCGCCCCCCGCTCCGGCCGCAACCATCACCGCGCGGGGGGGGGGGGGACGGCCCCCCGGGGACCCCC